GACAACATAGCGGTCTTCCGCCCGAGCATGCGCAAGTTTGAAAGCTCCCATCGACGGATTGAAGTGCTACAGACCTCTCGTCCCCAGGCCGTTTTCTTGAATCACCAGTTGATTATTCTTTTGTCGAATCTCGGTATCCCGGATGATGTATTCATGAAATTACAGCGTGATATGTTGGACCGATTGGCAGGTGAGAACGTAAATAATCGATCTGTTTCAATAGACGTCGCCATGTGTGAACGTGAGGGAATTTTGGGAAACTGGGTCGAGCACAGCAGGTTGAGGCCGAAATCTGAATCATCATGAAGCATACTTAGTTTCTTTTGTGTTTTAACTTGCATTGTTTGGCTTTTCTTCCTGCTAAAAATGGTTCCTAATTGTGCAATGGGACTTAATTACAAAAGAAATGTTTGAACATTAAATATTTCGCTTTTTTATCTTTTTTTTTTCTCCCAGAAGTTAATGATTAGCCTCGACTTTGTGTACTAGACCCAGTTTTCCTCTAATTCAGCACTTACCAAAGCAATTCTGCGGAGCCGAGGTAGCATCACCTCTGAAACTTGAGAAGCAAAGAACCTGGGAAAGACTAATTACCAGACTCTCTGTTCTAGCCTCTTTGTTGTGAGTAACCTGATTATATTTGATTTTAAGGAATGCTTGTAAACGAACAGCTGGCTTCTCAGCAGATGACTTCGGGGGCCAAAACTGGCATCGCTTACACGAGCCTGTCTCAAGCTGGAATACAACTGACTACTGAACCCTTTTTTAAGTCTTTGTTGGTAGCACTGTACAAAGAGCGAATGCAAAATCTGCTTAGTCGAGCCCGCATTCTCCTTCCACCAGCGGAGGCTCGACTTATGATAGGTGTCATGGATGAGACGGGGACCTTAAAGCCAGGCGAGGTTAGAAGATGAATAGTTTGATCTGTGATTATTTCCGCTGTTGTTACTTTTTGTTAATGTTCAGTGTAAATAAATTGTTTGTCGTAAGACCAAAACCATCCTAATTACAACGGCCATTCAGAAGAAAGTGAAATAAACCAACTATTTGAGAATAAGTTTTTCGTATAAAGGTGATTCGTTGAAGAATAGTTGGAACAGCCTTTCCCATGGATTCTGATCGACTGTTTCCTTTCGCGAATTCAAAATGAAAGTGCGTCATTATAACTTTTGAATGAGACACGGCATCCTAGAAAAGCGGCTTTAATGATATGATTGGTTTTTATTCTTATAATACTATATTAATTATTAGTTAATTATTAATCAATTAATTAACGATATTAATACCGTATCAATTATTAGTTAGTTTAGCCGGCAGAATTAAATATTTTGTACCCTTAGATTGTCCTGAAGGATTTTATCGTGTATAAACAAATTTATCTATCTATCTAGAGCTCATGGCAAAAAACATACAAATTTATTGAAGCGCGAAAAAACGCGAGTGACCAAGTTATCTAAACCTATCACACTGCGAAGTAAAGCGAAACGAGTGTAGTCCCGAATCCCTTTCGATGCTCAATCGATTTTTTCCATTTTTTTCTTTTTTGCCATTACTGCTTAAGTTACGTTTGTCTACGAACTCTAACATTTCTTCTCAAACTAATATCTCTCCAGGTATTTGCACAGTATTCAGCGACTTCCAATGACCCTGATCACGAAGGAGAATTCAGTAAATCAAAAAAGCATATCCTCAAAGGACCGGTAGTGATAACAAGAAATCCTTGTCTCCATCCCGGGGATGTCAGACAGCTGACCGCAGTATACGCGGCTCAACTCGTTCATTTGGTGGACTGTGTCGTGTTTCCTAATCATGGACCACGCCCTCATCCGAGTGAAATGGCAGGTATAATTAATGTTAATAATTATTTCTGATCCTTCAGTATTGATCACCAGGTTTCATCATAGGTAAAAGAGTGACGAAAAAAACTGGTCATTCACAATTTTTCTCCCTCTTGACTTACGCGCGACTCACCACCAATACCGCTGTCGCCATTGCGCATGAACAGAGCATGGAATGACGGTGTCTTTGTGTTTACAAATTTTCTCTTAGTATGCGCATGTGCGAGGAGATATCCAGTAGTGCACGCAAAGGATTTGGCTCAAACGGAACTTTAATTTTTTTGGTTGAATAATTAGTCTTAACCTCCACTCATGGGTAGAATATGAAAACACATAAGGATTCAATCAAGTTCTTTTATAAGTCTACTGCTTTTCGGCGGCAGAGTAGTTAATGGTCGGAAATTAAACGCTTGATTTGCGATTTTGTCTCTATGGCTACTCTTTGGTGAAAAGTTCCCGCTATTTACTTCAGAACTAACCAATCAGCATGCGGGAAAAGCTCTTTTCACTTCTGGGTGTGTAGTTTATATTAATGTTCTTTATTAAGGCGCTCTTTCTCTGCTCTTTCTCTGAACTCTGTAAGCTCACGCTTTCATGCTTAACCTTTAATTCGCATGAGTGACCAAAGCCGGAATTCCTCATGACAATATCAATACAATATCAAGAGAAAAGTGACGAGAATAAATAACAATATTCATCAGGGGATTATCCGTTGATCTAATAACACATTCTCCGAACTAACATCATAAGAATTGTCTGGTAGACGGTGAGGAGAATTACTGTGGAAATCTTAGGGCTGAAAGCGTTAATGCCACCGGTAAGGATGTCTTCATATTGTAATCATTACTTTCTTCTTCTTGTCAGGTGGAGATCTCGATGGCGACCTGTACTTTGTCTGCTGGAATAAAGAGCTTTTGCCGAAGAGAAAACTTTTTCCACCAATGAATTACGAAGCACCACCTAAAAAAATAGTCCAAGGACCAATTCAAATACATCACATGACCGAATTTGTAGCCGAATATATCCGGTTTGACCAGCTTGGTGTGATTGACAACGCACATAAAGCACATGCCGATTGTGACGAGGGAGGGGTCGAGTCGTCACTATGTCTTAAATTAGCTGAGCTTCATTCATTAGCAGTTGACGCTCCAAAGACGGGGGAATGGCCCGAAATGCCCAAAGAGGCGAAAGTCTTAAAGTTTCCTGATTTCATGATGAAATCCGACAAACCCAGCTACCCTTCAGACAAGGTTTTGGGAAAGCTTTATCGGGAGTGCAGAGCATTTAAAGACAGTATAGGGAGAGAGGTTCCACGAAAGAAACCACACATCGACTCCGCTTTATTAGTGCCCCATTTCCAGAGGTACCAAGACGAAGCAAAGGAGCTGTATGAGGAATACTCCAACCAGCTACAAACGCTGATGAACCTCTACGGAATTGAGACAGAAGCCGAGCTGCTCTCAGGATGTTTTCTTAAAGTACACTCTCGTCTTGGAAGAGAAAAAGTCGAGATTGCTGACCTAGTTGGGCAAATTCTCACTAAAATACGCGAAAGCTTTCGGAGAAGGTTCTTCAGAGAGTTCGAAGTGAACGAAGATATTCGAGGAGCCGAAGATGTTATTTCCGAAGAAATGCGAAGAAAGGCCTCGGCCTGGTACTACGTGGCGTACAGCAACAAGCAATCGACCGACGCAGCAGAAAATGTCCCGGATGGAACCCCTTCAAAGCAGTTCTTAAGCTTTCCGTGGCTGGTTGATGACGTTATGCTGTCAATCAGAACAGAAAGAGCATTTGAGGAACAGGAGTCTCCAAGCATCGTAGAGTCGATTAATGAAAGCGTTTTGAAGGTCTTTGAGAAAGACAGAAGAATTCTCTTGCCGTGTTTTGAAGAAAGACTTCAGAAAAAGAATCTCATTGCTAGAGAAATTCCTGGAATGAGTCTTGCTTTATTCGGTTCTTCAGCGACACTTCTCTTCAGAACAGATTCGGATCTTGATCTTTGTGTGCTAAATTCTGTGCGCGTCGCGCGACGAAAAGGATTGGATCGAGAGGAACAGATCGCCTTATTGACGAAATTACACCCAATCATGAAGAACCTGTTTAAGCATGCGCGTCTGGTGGAGTCCGCTAAGGTTCCAGTAAGTGCTGTCTTGAAGTTGAGGGAGGTGGATTACTTCTCTTAAATAATGCTTGCGCTGTGACCTCTGTCATGTCATCCTATAACTGTATCGTTTATCTGAGGATCTAGCAAACTCATCTCGGAGTAGCGACACCTTGTATACATGCGGAAATTCTCGATACAATCATCATCAATGATTAAATTCTCGAGCACTCAATGAATTCACATATTCCACTTTTCTTTTTTTTTTTGCTATGTTCCCTTTCTGCACCAAAACTTAGTATATAATCTTCTAGAAGGAAAGAGGTCACCCTTCCATTCAAAAAAGGAGACAAAGAGATTGACCACTATGCTTGTTTACGTGAAATGACATGGAAACTCGGTGGAAGACTCCGAGATGAGCGCTTTTTAAGAATTTTTTCTTATGGCTAAGAGTTTTCTGCCAGGAGATTCTCTCCCTGAAAATAACTGTCTAATAACGCTGTTTGTATTTGATTTCAGGTGATTTCTTGCCAGAACCCGTCCAATTATGGGGGTCCCTTGGTTAAAGTAACAGGTGATCTCTCAGCCTCATGGGAAGGTCTCCTCAAAGCTATTGTGTTATCCAGCTACATAAGATCATACCCAGGTCTCTTGCCAGTTCTCCGTCTCCTCCTCAGTTGGGGTCATGTGACGGGGCTCGCAGGACATGGTGTTGAGGCAGGGATTAAGTCAAATGAGCTAACTTTCTTGTTGCTGATGTTCTGCGCTTCCAAGAATTTGGTGCAAAATTTCAACATGGAAAGTGTCTGGGAAAGGTGCTTACAGATTTCAACTGGACAAGTGAGCGACATAGTTCTTATCCAGGAGTGGCGAGATGTTCTTGCATCTTTACCGTCATTGGAATCCTCAGAAAACGAGGCCAGTGTTCCAATCACTCTCGGTGATGAAGAAATCGGTGAGATCCTGCTGACTTTTTTCCAAGCTTACAACTCCACCCTCGAAGCAGAAATTCCTCAACCATTTGCGTCACTATTAGGCGTGGCCAAACTATCAGAACTGTTGGACGCAGAACACTTGCGCCTGCTCAAGGAGCACATGCAACGTGCTTTTCATCTGTTGGCACTTTACGGCGACGTTGAAGTGCTTCTTACAATCAGTGCATCAGAAATCGACCGTGTTATTTTCCTGTCAGAGGAGTTGTCATATGCCATGGCGGGCTCAGAAAGGCATAACGCGTATGAGTTGTCGAAAAAGACTGGTGCGAGAGTAACAATTCGTCCCAGTCTCCCCGGGTCAGGATTTGGTCTTGTTCTTCAAGCTATTGGTACTGAGTCTGCTGTAGCGTCAGTAGAGCGAGCATTGAATGCCATGGCAACGCAAGCTTTGCGTAACAGGGCTGCCATTATGTCAGTTTGCTTCGTTAAGGAAGCCAAACTCATGGTGATAGAAGGTTCTCTTAGTGACGATGACCGCATCACTTTGGTGCCGTACTACGGAAATCACCACCCCACCCATGATAGTCTGGCTTTGTACGTGCCCATGCTGATAAATCCAAGATCTGACCTTAGGCGTATAGGAGCTGCCTTTACCCGGTATGAGTTCCAAAGCTTTAAGGAGAAGTTTCTCACTCAAGTTCAGGTATGAATTACATGACTGTTAGATTGCTGTAGACGTTGCTCTGAAAGTTTTGAAGATGCTCGGGTTGATATCGATAATCTTCGCAAATCTTCGTGCAGTGCTTTGGGAACTGATTTAAAAGTTTTGAAGGCACTCGGGTTGATATCGGAAAACTTCGCAGATCTTTGTGCAGTGTTTTGGACACTGATCTGAAAGTTTTGAAGGCGCACGGGTTGATATCGAGAGACTTTGTAGATCTTCGTACAGTGCTTTGGACACTGATCTAAAAGTTTTGAGAGTGCTCGGGTTGATACCGGGAAACGACGGAGATCTCCGTGCCAAAGACGAATCTTGTGAGCTTTCCGAATGCATGATTCCGCGAAAAAAATATTTGCCATTGTTTTAAAAAACGAACTATAAAAATCTAGCACTATTTCCCTGAATTTGATTTTTTAAACTTAAGACTTTAATTCAAAGATTCAAGACCATGGGCTATGGGGGGGAGGGAAGGTTGGAGGATTTTTGGGGGTTCACATGGTTTTCAGGGGGAACATAGAGGGAGATCAGTTGTTGCTAACAGAGTATAAAAGGGGACTATAGCAAATTGACTGCCAATTAACTGCCAATGAAGGGGGGGCGCATAAAATTATTCTAGAGCCTTATGGGGTTTCAGCTAATTTTTATCTTGACACAGAGAAAATTCTCTGAGCCCCCTTCCCCTCTTAGGCTATGAATTAAGACTGTTCCCTTCACTTCCTTTTTTTTCCATTTTTCTAGGTGATAGAGAGGGATTTTGTGCCTTCCATTCACGGTGAAATGGAGTTAGCCGTTCACTTTGGACGCATTTATGTTTTAAATATTCCGAAATCATTTACTGAGGACACAGAATCGCCAACTGTTAGTGTGTTCCAAACAAATCTGTCACGTGGTTACAAACCTAGACCTAGTGTGCTCTCCACCACTCCTAGAAATGACAAAAAGTACGTCAAGACTCTAAAAAGTCGAAAAGTTAAGAAGCGAAAGAACAACGAAGTCGGGGAGGATGGCAAAAAGGCACCAAACCGGAAACCCTCTCGAAGCTCTTTCTTTACAATCGTTACATCGCATGAGAAAATCATGGGTTTTCTGATGCAGCGCGGGTTTTTAGAGGAAAAAAGCTCAGAGTTCTACCTGGTTGAAATACACACGGATCACGAATTCTGTGTTCTCACAGATGGAGCTTTCAATTTTCTCGAAATCATGTATCCCAAGCTGCGCTGGTGTGCGGTAGATGTGAAGAGGTCTTGGCGGGAAAATCCCGAAGATCATGACATCACTGATCTAGACGGAGTCGAGACTGATGTCCGTTTCTTATTACAGACCCGCCATGCACTGCGCTCAGAGGACATACGTGGAACTGCTTATGAACAGTACCGTGATACCTTGCAGCCTCAACATTCCGCACAGGCTTCCCGATGTCCTTATGTAGTTAAACCGGAAGTTTGGAAGGAGGTGGCCTTGATTCGACACAAAAAGTCCCGGATATACAAGCTGAGCGAAGACTTAGCAATGCAAAGCGAGTTTAGGAAAGCCCTTCGTATCAGTGTGAACGAAGTTACTGAGTATTCTCGACCCACAAAACACGTATCTGACTTCAGTAAAGTTATGACACGATGGGAAGTTGTCACCAAGGCTGGATTACCCAACAGTTGGAGTAATAGCGAAGCTGTGGAGAAGCTATTGAGGGATATCTGGGCCTTTGCTTTTGCTTTGGCCTCGCATTTATCCGAATAAAGGAAAAGACACTGAACTGTTTTATCCTAAGTGACAGATTTTTTTTATCTCCACAAGCATGTGTAAGTTATGTCGCTCCGCCTTTCATAGCGAGTGTAAATAACGCGATAAAAGTCTCTCAGAGCTTGAGGTGCTAAAGCGAGAGAAACACGCCACCCGTTTGATAAGGCTGATCTTGATAAATGAGGACTTACTCTTTAGAACAATGGCAATTACTTTGAAATGCGATGCTAGCTTGACTTCAGAAGAATAGATTTGTGTGGCTCTACAAGTAGCTGTAATTTGTAGTGGGAAATTCAGCGAGAGGTTGTTTCCAAATCTCAAGAACGTGGAAGAAGTATTTCCCCTTAACTATAGAGCTGTCGAGGTTTCCTTCCCCCGGCCTTTAATTCATGCAAAATCCAGTTTGACCCTTTACACTCTAACATCAGTATGCATATTCTCCATACTACTCTCTACACATTTCCTGGGTTACTGAGAAGGAGAATTTGTTTAACAATCAAGAGCATTTTAAGTGGTTGATCATATCCTTTCTTCCTGTGACAATAATTTGTGATTCAGGAACGATATTGGAAGGAGAAATTAGATGTTGGTCACTCTTAGGCATCAAAGTGCTAAGTTCATATGACAACATTCCCTGTTTATTAATTTCCATGGGACAATAAAGCGATTCATTTCATTCGAAGTTAAACTCAAACGATGGTTAACCCCCCCCATCCCTCCCCCGCCTTTTTGTTCCAGAATTTTAAATAAGCACCACGCGCCAATTCAAGGGATATACGCTTGTAAGGGACCCACTTGCAACCTCCAACAGGCTTTAGCACTTTAAATCTGTCACGTCACAGATGCTTCAGTCTGATTGGCTACGCCACTCACTGTCCGTTCCGTCATAGACAGCAACTAAAGTGATCAATCAAATTACACACACATGGCGTGACCCATATATATGCGTTAGTGACCAGGTGTGAGGTCAAGATGGCTGGATATTGACCGAGTTCTCTTTCTGCGCTTTAAAAAAAGGGGAAGAAAAACAAGGCTAATATCTAGCCATTTTAAGCGAACAAGCTTGGCAAATAAAGGATT